TATCAGGTTTCCTGTCCCAGGCATTTCTGGGACCCCACAGAGCTTTGGCCAAAGACTTGCTACTTTGGGCGGGGTCCTTGTTTAGCTAACACCAACCATCACTACTTATATGCTGGGCTGGGAGGGAGATGGACAATGCCTTACACCGAGTTCAAGTCAAAGTCAGAAGGGCTTTGCTCACCCCACGCAGACCCCCAGTTCCCTGCTGAGGAGCAAGGAGGATTTTTCCAAGGCTCGAGTTTTGCCTCCAGAGGCACAAGGCAGCAGTGACTCCTGGGTGTCCTGCCTCAGTCTCTCCAGGTGAGCAGCCTAGTTCCGCGGTCTCGGAGACTGGGGAGGGGAAGAGCACACTACAACTCCCAGAGTTCCCCTGCCTCAGGGGGCGGTCCCTGCCCCTCGCGGAAGAATCGGACCCGCCAACCGGAGCCCAGAGCGGAGCGGAGGCGGGCGGGGCGAGGCGGGGCCGCGGGTAGGCGGCTGGCAAGCTGCTCGGCGGGTCAGTAGCGCGGAGAGCGTGGGGTCGAGAGATAGGGTCGTGCGGAGCATCTCGGGCTGGAGCCGCTGGACCTCGCCGCGCCATGGGTAAGCGGCTCTGTGGTCCGGCCCGGGATGGGGCTGGCGGCCCCGTGGGAGGGCGAAGTTGCGGCGCCAGGTCTCCCCCGGCGCTCGTAGCCGTCGGTGCTGCCTTGGGGGGCTAGCGGGGCCGGGGGTGGACTCGAGGGCGAGGACGTGGGGACCTAGCCTGGACCGGGGCGCCCGCTCCCCCCGCCCGGAGCGGGAGGGTGAGGCCCGGTGTCGGCGCGCGCTCTTCGAAAAAAAAAGAAAGACAAAAAGTTTTGGCGGCCAGGGGCTTCCCGGGCGTTTATCTCGAAACTCTTGTCGTCTTTTGACTGAAATTTACCATGTTCTGTACGGTTCTGTCATCCCACTTCCTGCTGTGGTTTTCAATCTCGAGCTGGTCTCAGCTAATTTGTTGTGACAGCTGTCCGCAGCAGTTCTCTGCCTGCAGCCCCCCCGGCCCCCCACCCCCTCTCGACGTCACATCCCGGTGGTTCTCAGAACCCTCCGGCGCCGCCGAGAAAGGGGCACCGGGGTCCGCTGGGCGCGCGGGACGTTTTCCACTGCGGCCGCCGTTTCCTGAAAGTGACTCTGCGCGGGCTTTGAAGAACTTGCTCAATGCATTTTGAAGAATCAACTGTTCCTCTTTCAGCCGAGGGGCGTGCTGATCCTTCGGCGGTTACCGGCTCCTCGCCCCCTACCCTTTCTCTTTTTCTTTTCCCTTCCCTTTTTTCTTTTCTTCTCTGGTCTCTTCTCTTCTTGTCTCCTGTCCACCCTCCTCTACACACACACCCCCACGCTCCCCACGACAGGGAAGAAGTAGCTTCCCTTTTTGCTCGGCGCATCTTTCTCTTGTCTCTTTTTTCTCTCCTCGGGTCTCCAGGAGGGACGGGATGGCGGCCCCGGGAGTGATGGGGGCGGTGGGGTGGGGGGGAGAAGAGGAGTGGCGGTGCGCGGGCTGCGAGCGTGCGAGAAGTTTGGCTTCGCGCACAGTCCGAGCCTGGGACCACGACACGGCTGCCTCGTCTCGGTCCCTGCGCAGGGTGTTCAAGGGGCGCGGCCAGGCCGGGCTCTCGTCTTCCAGTCCCGCGGACGCTGGGATAGGGGTGGGGGTCGCCGGCTGCCGGACCCCCGAAGGCTCAGGGTGCGGGTACGGCGGCACTTCGCTGGCCAGACCCCGGGTCCCTTTGTTTGCGGGGTCGTCAGCTATCGAGGAGGGGTCCGCGGGGCCGAGAAGAGGAGAACAGGTGCTTCTTGTCCCCTCCCGAGCACCAGGGTTGGGGGCTTGGGGTCTCTGTGCCCACAGGCCGTGTTAGGGCAGAGGAGGGATGGGAGATGGCAGCTAGTGGGTTGGGCCACGGGAGTGGAGTTCCAGAGTCCGTACAAGCCCCGGGGACCCGTCTGGGGCCTCGAACTTGGAACGGCAGAGGTAGAAAAGACCTCAGGGAATCAGCCCCTTCTTGTATGAGTTAAGAGTCTGGGAAACTGAGTTTTACAGACCAGCCCTGGTCTGGCAGTGAGGACGAATCAGGCCTTTAAGACCCCGCCCCCTCTCCCTTCGCAATGGTTCTGGAAACTGGCCTGGGATGGCCCACCCTCCCTCTGGGACCTTGTGGTACCGACTTGGAGAGCCATCCTTGGCGGAGGGTGTGGGGTGCTCTAGGAGCGGAGCGGAAAAGCTGAGAGGCAAACGAGTGCCCCAGGCAGAGGTCAGGCAGCTGACACAGCTCCGTCCTGGCTGTGCCTCTACTGTTGGCCAGTGTTTTGGACAAGCCGCTGCCAAGCCTGGTTCCCCCATAGGTGGAGTAGGTGCAGGAAATGTAGTCCGTGAGGACACAGGAAACGGTCCGTAGATGGAGCCGTTACTGTTACTGTCAAATATCACCCAGACTTGGAGGGGAGGGACAGTGGGGATTCAGCCCCATCCTGGAACAGGGTCTTTTAGGATATCCCAGAGCCGGCTAAAGGGCGGCCGAATTCCAGCAGGGCTTGGGAGTTGGCAGTGTCGTATCTGGTGCCCCCATGCCCCCACTTTTCTACACTCAAGGCTGTCATCTTGGCCTCAGATGTTCCTAGACCCTGACTCCCCTCTTCCCCCAGCTGACACCCAGAGGCAGGGCTGGGTCGGGAGCTGCACCCTGTGCCCTCTGGGCTTCCATGTCCCGGTCGTCCGTCTGTCCTTAGCGCTGGCTGGAGCACAGCCCTTGGCAGGTCCCCCTTCCCCAAACCACGCTGGAGCGAGCTCCACACGGAGACTGCCAGGCAGCCGGCTCCTGGGCCACAGAGTGGACTGGCCCCTTCAAAGGCTGTCTTTGTTTCAGCTCCAGCTCCAGCTAAGAGAAACTTAAGCCAACGGCCTTAGGCGAGGAGGTGTGGCCGGTCTGCTGGTTGTTATTGAGGCTGCTGTTACCATTATTGTGGTAATTGACACGGTGCTCCCAGTGGGTGACTTTTCATGAAAGGAAGTGTCGCTTCCTTTCCATCACACCAAGGGTGAATGAGGCGGGGGAGGGGGCGGGGGGAGGAGAGAGAGAGAGAGAAAGAGAGAGAGAGGCAGGCCTTGAACTAGTCACAGCCGGGCGGCTCTCAGCATCAGCACTATCTGAGGTCAGGTAGCTCATACTGCACCGGTAAGGCTCAGTGGGGCTTGTGTTTTTGGAGCACCTGCTCTCTGCTGGGCAGGACTCCAGGCGCTGAGACACACCAGGGAGTGAGCAGGACAGGCAGACCTCAGATCTCACTGAGGGATGCGCGCACACATGTGCACACAGTCAACTGTGGTTGGTACGGGGAGCCTCGTTTCTTGCTTTGTTCTGCTTAGAACGTTGGGCCCATGGGGGGTCTAACACACCCACCTTATAGACAGGTAAACTAAGGTACAGAAGCACCTGTGTGGAGTCAGAGCCCCCTCCCCATCCCTCCTCCTGCCCCACTCTCATCTGCTTTCAGTTCATCTGGCAGGGCAGCAGACTAACAGGAATGCTGTGGCGGGAGACTGCAGATCCCCCAGGGAGGGTGGGCAAATGGGCACCCTCTGAGCACAGAGAAGGAACTTGGGGTCTCCCTGCTCCCATTAAAAAACTTTAGATCTCAGGGTTCAGTGTCTTGGGACAGGCAGACTGCACTGGTTCCAAATCCCAGCTTTGCCACTAGAAAGCTGTGTGACTTCAGGCAAGTTATTGACCCTCTCAGAGCCTCAGGTGTTGTATCGTTAAAGGGGGGGAAATAATACCCACTGGGTGCTGGGAAGATGCAGTGAGCTAATGTATGGAAGTGCCTACTCCAGGGCCTAGCAGAGACTGATTTCAGTTGGTGGAGTACATAGTGTGGAAAGAGAGGGAGAGAGGGGCCTGAGAACAGGTGGGCTTCACTTTGGGAATCTCCACTTTTGCAGCCAGCGACTGAAATTAACCTCTTCACTGCTGTGGTATTAGGATCTAGGGTTAAGCTTGACTTTTACAGAGCCATGGAGCTGAACAGAGACAGATTCCTAACACAGGAGGAGCCTGAGCCATCCCACTGCCCAGCACCTGCCACGCCCCCTCGCTGCCAGTGAGGGGCTGGGTCACAAGGGCCCCAGAGATGAGGAAATGGCAGCGGGCTGTGAGCTTAGTCCTGCTGTCATTGTCAGGGTTCTTCTCACACTATTGCCTAGCTGCACAAAACTCGGGAAATAAGCTCAACAGGGATGCACAGGGCCTGTGAGCAGGAACCTCTGAGCACTGCAGAGGGAGACCTGAATCTACGGAGACACGTGGTCCTGCAGAGGAAGATGCACTATCAGAAAGGTGTTATTATCTTTCAAAGTAATTTCTAAATGTAAATGCAATTCAATGAAAACCTCAGTGGTTTTTCTTCTTTTCTTTTCTTCCCCCCCCCCCCCCCCCCGCCGCTTCCTCCCTCCCTCCCTTCCTTTTTTTCTTCTTTCCTTTCTATGAGACAGAATTATCCTAAACTTCAGAAGGAATTTTCTAAGAGGAGTAATGATGGGGGACTTATGCTCCGAATAGTACGTTGTGTTACAAGGCTACAGAAATTAAAACTGTGCATGGGTCCAGCATTCCACAGTGAATCAAGCAGAAGAGAAAGTCCAAAACCAGCCCCCAAAGTGTTCCTTACAAGCCTGCAGATTGTGGGGAAAGTAGCATTTCAGATTATTGGGGGAGGAGATCACTCAGTCAATACTGGGACCACCCACCCATGGGGAAGTATGGTTAAACCCCTATCTCGTACCTTATAAATTTATTTATTTTTGGCTGTGTTGGGTCTTCATTTCTGCACGCGGGTTTTCTCTAGTTGCAGCGAATGGGGGCTACTCTTCGTTGCGGTGCGTGGGCTTCTCATGGCGGCGGCTTCTCTTGTTGAGAACGGACTCTAGGCGCGCGGGCTTCAGTAGTTGTGGCACTAGGGCTCAGTAGTCATGGCTCACGGGCTTAGTTGCTCTGCGGCATGTGGGATCTTCCCGGACCAGGGCTCGAACCCTTGTCCCCTGCATTGGCAGGCAGATTCTTAACCACTGTGCCACCAGGGAAGCCCCTCATACCTTACAGATTCCAGATAGATTAAAGTAAACATAAATAATAACCATTATTGTCATTATTGCTTCCTGGATGGAAAAGGCGATGTCTGAAGGGCATGCCTTTGGAGAGCAGAGGTTTTCTTTTTGTAACTGAATCCACCTCCATTACAACACGGCATCTGAGGCTTTGTGCTCAGAGGGGATCTATACACCCATAAGCTCGGGGCAAGACAGGAACTCAGTGGCTCATGGCAGCAGCGGTCACTCAGCGGCAGCTGGGTTTCTGGGAGGCAGGAGGACTCACCCGGCACCTACAGCAGGAGGTTTCAAACTTATTTCTTGTAGCAGAACTCTTTTTCCAAATGAAGATTTACCCGGAACCCTGATCTACCAATGATTGGGGAAGAGAAGGATAGGACAGCCAGGGACAGGACAGGCTGGGGAAGGAGGGCAAAGACTTCTCCCCGCCCTCCCTCATCGGGGCTGCAAGGGTGTGGGCCTAGAAGGCCCTGCCAGGATGAGTGAGCACAACACCAGTCCTGGGTGCGAGAGAACGGAGGCCGGCTGCACTCTGGGACTCAGCCGCACACAGAGATAGAGTGTTTCCCTTTGTGGCTCTACGGAAGCTATAATCCCTTTCCCGTCTGGAGTTAAACAGCTCAGATTGGTGACCTCCTTTCCAGGTAACCCAAGTGCCTGACTCCAGGAGATTTTCCCAGGAGAGAATGGCCCAGGCAGAGCTCACCAACTCTGGAACTGAGCAGGAGGGACTAGGGCCACTCTGGCCTGGTGGCTCTCAACCTGTCTGCCCTCTCAGCTCCCCTGGGGAGCTTTAAACTCTGATGCCCCTTGAAGGACCTTAAATCAAACTCACGCGGGGGTGGGGTGGGAGACAGGCATCATGTCTGTTAAATGCTCCCCGCGTGATTCCAGTGGGCCCTGGTCCCACCACCTTATTTCTCTGAGGCCCGAGGACAGTGACTGACTTGCAGCAAATTTGCGAGAGGGCTTCAGTGAGAAGCCCCATCACAGGAACACGATGGAGAGACTCCTTCGGAGCTGAGCATTTTTGTTTCAGGCAAGAAGGGAGAGAGGATGTGAAAGCAGAGCAGAGAAGGCAGGAAGGGAAAGGAGAAAAACAGGAGGATGCAGGCATGCCCATGACCTAGAAGGCTTTGGGATTCATGGCTAGTTAGCAAAGGACTCCAGCGTCCTTCTCTCCCCATTTCACAGAAGGGGAGACTGAGGCACAGATTCGCCCAAGGACCTGGTTGGAAAGGCATCAGTCTTTTGGGGGGCAGTCATTAGCACCCACTTATTTCTGGAGATTGACCGTGTCTCCAGTGGTCAGGAGCCAGCCTGCAAGGACGGCCCAGGCCCAACTCATGCTTGACAAGTGTTAGGCTGGGTTTCTCTTCGCGGTTTATTTGGACTCTCCACCAAGGCTTCGCGGTGTTGGTGATACAGCAGCCGCAGTGGTGGCGAGGCCAGGCCCCTGGACTGGTGGTCAGACAGACCTTGTTTTGAATCTGGTCCCTCAGGGCGGCAAGCAACTTAACCTCTCTGGCTTCAGTCCCCCCAGCCTCCCTTAAAATGGGATTCCTCTGGGACTCCATGAGAGAACATACATGAAAGGGCCAGGGACACAGAGCCAAGACCCTGCACAGCGCCCTTGTGAACAGCTACGCAAGGGGACACTGTTCAGCGGCCGGAGGTTCTGCAGCTCGTGCTTCTGGGTACTGCTGACCTTGTGGGTCACTCTGGCGCGGGTTTCTTGTTCTTAAGGAGATTCTTTTTCTGTCTGGGTTGGAGGGGGAATCTTGCACGTTCCCAGCAGTAAGGATTTCTTGAGTTGGAGCGAACCAGGACAGTTCTTTAAGGATTAACCAAAAGGAGAAAGGAAAGAAAAAAAGAAAAGGTCAGAGGACATGGGCTCCCGGTCTCACACCTGCTGCCAGCCAGAGCAGCTCGCAGTGGCTGTGCTTTGGCAGCGGCAGGGGTGCTGTGTCTTTGCAGCCATCAGCTCTCAGGACGCCCTTAGTAAAACCAAGCCCCTGGCTCCTCCCTCCCCTCTGTCAGGTTGTTGTGAGACACTCATTCTCGCTTACCTGCCACCTACTTTGTGGGTTGCTGGGCGGCCTCACGAAGTTCTCAGGAGGCCAGACAAGCCGTGGGCATCTCAGTCTGGATGGCCCATCTGGATGGTGTGAGGATGGCTAGAGGATGACTAGAGAGAAGTGCTGTGCTTGGCTGGGGGCTGGGAAGGGCCACTCCGAGGAAGCGACTTGTCAGGTGAGACCTGAAAGGTCACCAGGAACCGTGCAGGTGAGGGGAGCGGTGTGGCCTAATTAGGGGCAGTGAGGACTCTGCTGGTGCCTCAGGCAAAGGCTGGGTGCTTCACAAATAGGAACTTACCCTCTTCTTGATTATTTCTGGAGGGTTTATGGTCCAAGCAGCCCCCCGTGGTGCTTTGGGGGTCCACAATCATGGAAGCCTCTGCAGCTTTCCCAAACTTTCTGCCTGAAGGTGGGGCAGGTTTTGGAGACATGATTTCCCCGAGCACCACGGCCCCAGTGCCGGTCTCCTGTCACTTGACCCCAAGGTGATTTAGGGTTTCCTTCGAAGTTGTGGGCAGAGGGCTGGAATGGAGGAAGGAGAAGTGTCAGGTGTGGTGTGGGCGGGGCCTGGTGGGGCTGAGAGGGGAGGGGGGCAGAGTCGGGGGAGCCCTGTGTGTGTTTAGAGGGCTGCCTGCAGCAGCCGGGACCGCGTGCAGAGGACACGCAGCAGAGGACGGCGGCGAGGACTCACCCCCTCCTCTTGAATACTCACCTGGCCCTCCTGCCGCCCGCTCCTCCCTGCCAGCATCTCACGTTCTCTCCCTCCTCCCCCCTTCTCTCCCTCTTCCTCTCCTTCCAGCACCTCCTGTCAAAGGCAAAAGGAAACAGTCAGAGGATGGTGACCCCCTAGACCCACCTGTGTCTCCTCAACCCGACGCTGAGCAGAACAGGAGCCAGAGCCCCGTCCAGCTGGAGGTGAGTTGGACGACCCCCCTGGGGCCCTCTTCCCTGCCCCTCCCTCACCCCCGCCCCACCTGTGTGTAGCCTCCCAGGTGAACATGGAGACTCCCTGGAGATGTGTTCCCTACCCCCCATCCTGCAGAGAGCCTGGAAAGGGGCCCAGCCCCGCTGTCCTGGGCCCTGCACTGGGCGCTGGGAGCGGGGCAGACAGGAAGGCTCACCCATCACCCCAGCTAGGGTTTCAGGCTTGGTTTCTATGGCAGAACCCTTTTATCAAATGAGGATTACCTGGAACCCTGACATATGAAACAGACAAAAGCACTATTCTACGATGTGAAACTACATTTACATCCTTCCGTCCATCCACATCGGTAACATGGCCCTTAGAGTCAGCTCGTGAGATCAGCGCCGCTGTGCTGGCCAGCGAGGTGGGAGTGGGCAGCCTCGCTCCTCAGCGTCGTGCTTTTCGGCCATTTGCTTTGGTGGCACAGGCTGGAGTAGGAATCCTGATTCGTGTAGAAGAGTAGCTGCAAGTGGGAACAGGTTTTAACAGATCGCCTGGAGTTCAGAGAAGAGGAATAGAAGAGCACATTCATTTGAAGCTGTGGTCAGAGCGCCTTCATTCCGAGGCTCCAGAGAACAGCTGCCTTGGGCTCCAGTGTGTGCCAATTCCGTGCATTAACATATGAGGTGGCTTGCTTATTACCAGAGGTCTTTGATTAGTCAAAATCAGGGACATGGTACTTGAATAGAGTATTTTTGGAGCACGTGGCTCTCTGCACGGTTCTAGGCCCTGGTGTTTTTCGTCCTTCTCGTGTTTGGGGCCTGCCCTGCCAGGACCTCAGCCCCAGCCTAACAGTAGCCCCCTGCCCTGAGCTACCAGCCACGTGAACAGCATCGGCAGAAATTCCCCGAGAGCAGAAACCAAAAGACCTGTGCATCTGACAGAAGTGCCAGTTGGAGCCCAGGACAGGGTCTCCCCTCCCTGAGTTAAGCACGTGGACGGGCGGGTCACAGAGTCAGGCCTGGCGGTGCGGCGCCACAGAGCTAGAGAGCACCAGGCACTTTTGTTCCTTCAACCTGGACCACGGAGGCTGCTGGGAGCCCTGGGGACACTGCGCCTACCGCCAGGAACTCACAGTGTGGTAGAGGAGCTGAGATGCAGATGTGACAAGTGGAAGAAGTGGTCAGAAACTTGGAGAAGGTGCAGGGCTGCTCCCAGGGCCTCTGTGGACCCTGACCTGGGGTTCTGGGCACTAATAGCTGACACCTGTGCCTTTTTGACCCCAGGAACAAGCAATGCAGCCCAGAGCTGGGTCTGGGGGTCTGCTCCCTCCTGTGGGAGCCTGGGGGCCACGCATCTCTTTCCTCCCCAGCAGCCTGAGGTTCCGCCCGTCCCCAGCCTCCCAGCAACTGAGGGCTCATGCTGCTGCCTCATGTTTTTTCCCCAGGACTCCCCCGAGGCAGGCGGGGAGCGGGAGGAGGAGCAGGCCTTCCTGGTCAGCCTCTACAAGTTCATGAAGGAGCGACACACGCCCATCCAGAGGGTGCCCCATCTCGGCTTCAAGCAGAGTGCGTCCCTGGGGTGCAGGCAGGGAGGGGGGGCGCCCGGCAGGGGACCCCCACCCAGGCAGGGCATCGGGGAGCACCTCCGTTCTGGGTAACCCTGGACGCCGCCAGCCCACGGGGGTTGTACACGGAAAGGGTGCCCCCCTCCAGGCACAGGGCTGGCAGTGGGTGGGGCTGGATTTCCACCCTCACAGGCCACTGGGCCCCCAGTGCACGGGGCGTGGCCTGCCTAGCCATCCCAGTGGCCCTGTCTGGGTACGTGCTGGTTCTGTGCCTGCCTGACAGGGCCAGGGGGACAGGCTGCTGGCTACCCCTTCCTCCTGCCAAGACTGAGAGTGGCCCTGCCCTCTCTTTTCTCCAGTTAACCTGTGGAAGATCTACAAGGCCGTGGAGAAGCTGGGGGCCTATGAGCTGGTAAGGACAGCACCTCTGAGGCCTCACCCTGCTGCATCTCCTGGCACGTCAAGCTGGGGGAAGAGAGTGAGCCCAACAGAGCTGCCCTTACCACTAGACAGGAGGACGAGGCAGCGTCCCAAACCCTGCCCTTCCCCAGTTCCCCTGTGTGCTACGGGGAGAAGGAGGGACCCGCCTTGCCCGCTGCTACTTTGCTGCTCAAAGCAAGATTTCCTCTCTTTCCCATCTGTTCTGTCCTCGTGCTTGGAAAGCTGCTTGGGCCAGCACTCGGGCGGCCCCTGGGCAGGAGACCTGGCTGGCAGCCAGGGGAGCCCCCTCCAACCTCGCCGCCCCACTGCTGGAGAAGCAGCTGCAAAACTGCATCCAAGTGGGGACCCCAAGCTGTGAGGACCCCGTGGCCAGGGGGTGCCCGCCGGCCATGCCTTCACGTGGCATCCTTGCAGGTGACTGGCCGCCGCCTCTGGAAGAACGTGTATGACGAGCTGGGGGGCAGCCCGGGCAGCACCAGCGCGGCCACGTGCACACGCCGCCACTACGAGAGGTACGGCCAGGCCCGCGGCTCACAGGACCTGGGCCTTCACCCCCAGGGTTGGACCAGCAGGGCCCTGAGCGGGGAGGGCAGACTGCAGGCCTGCAGGCCTCCTGGACGAGATGAGGGAGAGCGCGGGCCCCCGTGGGTTGTCTGTGTGCTTGCCGGGCAGGGGTGTTCGCGGTCTGGGGCTGGAGGAGGCCGGGTAGGCCTGGAGCGGTGGGAGCCTGCTGCCAGCCTGGCCTCCTGGTCAGCGTGCCCGGTTCCTCCTCAGGTTGGTCCTCCCATACGTGCGGCACCTGAAGGGAGAGGATGACAAGCCCCTGCCCCCCTCCAAGCCCAGGAAGCAGTACAAGATGGCCAAGGAGCATCGGGGGGATGACGGGGCCACTGAGAGGCCAAAGAAAGCCAAGGAGGAGAAGCGGGTGGACCAGGTGAGCTCTGGCCGCCTCATGCCCTGCCCCTCACAGCGCCCCGTACCTGTCCTCACCTTGGCCGCAGGGCTCCCTGCCTAGGACACCCAGAACTTCCTCTGAGGGCAGCACTGGTGGGTGCGTGGGTAGGGTCTGAACTCCAGTCTGTACCCCGTTCACCAGTCCCTGTGTCCTGACCCCAGGCTGTGTCTATTCAGAGGATGGGACACCTTTTGAAAATTTTGCACAAAGGTGCTGGAAGGGCTAGCAGAGGCTCCTGGGTGCCCCCTTGGGACCTTGCTGTCACCAAGTGCCCAGGTCAGGGTGCATGGCTCACACCCAGCCCTGAGGCCTGGCCTTTTCTCTCTTTCCAGATGATGCCAGGAAAGACCAAAACAGATGCCCCTGACCTGGCAAGGCTTCCTAGCCAGGAGCCCTCCAGGGACGGCATGGAACAGCGAGGCCCAGCCCCTGGGCCCTCTCTGCCCTTCGTGGGTGCCAGCGGCTGCCCTGAGGCCTACAGGCGGCTTCTGTCCAGCTTCTACTGCAAAGGGACACATGGTATCATGTCACCACTGGCCAAAAAGAAGCTTCTGGCCCAGGTGAGCAAGGCGGAGGCCTTGCAGTGCCAGGAGGAGGGCTGCCGCCACGGGGCAGGTGGGGAGCCCCAGGCACCCCCAGCTATTCGGCCCCTGGAGAATCCCCGGAGCCCAGGAGGGCAGGCTGAGAACTCCAGGCACCGGCTGACGCCTCCGGAGGGAACACAGGGCCCTGGTGGCAGCCTCAAGGAGGAGGCTCAGGTGGGCCCTCACCCGTCGGCCCCCATCTTCACTGGCTGCTTCCACGCCTACCCCACCGAGGTGCTGAAGCCTGTCAGCCAGCACCCTCGGGACTTCTTCCCCAGTCTTAAAGATGGGGTGTTATTGGGGCCTCCTGGCAAAGAAGAGGGGCTGCCAGCCAAAGAGCCCCAGCGGGTGTGGGGTGGGGATGCCGACCACCCCTCTGCATTCCACAAGGGCGGCTCCAGAAGGGGCCTGTACCCCAAACCCAAAGCCTGCTGGGTGTCCCCCATGGCCAAGGTCCCTGCTGAGAGCCCCGTGCCCCTGACCACCTTCCCAAGCAGCCCAGGCCTGGGCAACAAGCGCAGCCTGGAGGAAGAGGGCTTGGTCCATGGCGGCAAAAAACTGCGGGCAGTGTCTCCCTTTCTTAAGGAGGTGGATGCCAAGGAGTGCGGGACCAAGTCTGTGGGGCCCGACTTGGCCGTCTCCTGCCTGCTGGGCCCGGCCCTGGGGCCCACCCTCCCAGAGGCCTGCAGGGGCACCATGCTGCGCTGCCCGCTGAACTTCGCCGGCACCCTGGACCCCTTAAAGGGCCAGGCCACACTCCCCTTCAGCCCCCTGGTCATCCCGGCCTTCCCAGCCCACCTCCTGGCCACTGCAGCACCCTCACCCATGGCCGCTGGCCTGATGCACTTCCCCCCCGCATCCTTCGACAGTGCCCTGCGTCACAGACTTTGCCCAGCCTCGTCTGCGTGGCACGTGCCACCTGCCACAACCTATGCAGTGCCCCACTTCTCCTTCCACCTCAACACCAAGCTGTAGGACTGAGCCCGCAACACTGTGCACAGGGTCTGACTCAGCCTGGGATGGGTAGGCACCGGCAAAGGGCTCTGGGGTGGAGCCCACTCCTCGGGAGAACTCGGCCGTGCCTGACGCAGGGATGCGCCCTCGGCTTGGGAGCCTGGCCCAAAGAGAGGCAGTGAGAAAAGTGGGTTTATCTCTCGAGGAGGCAGCCCGAGCCCAGGGGCTGGGGACCCAGTGGTTGCAAGGCCTTGGGAGAAGACGTTAAGGCTGACAGCTCCCAGCCGGGGCCCCAGAACAGAGGCCAGGAGTGGGGTGAGGGGTCGAGGGGCTGGTTAGCAGCGTGAGGCATCCGGGCTGCCTACGGAAAAGCC